CCTCCTCCTCCTCCTCCTCTGAACTCAGGACCTTGTGCTTGCCAGGAAGGTGCTGGGCTACTGAGCTATAGCTTTTGTTTTTATCATCTTCATTATTCTTAACTGAAAATTCCTACCAGAAATATCATGAATGTTCAACTACATGTTTTTGAGTGAGTTATGTAAAACTATTCTTTAAAAAAATGGATTCAGAAAACTCATAGGAGAAACTTTGGGACCCCACTTAAATTATTTGTGCACTTTATGATTTTTTTTAATTTAGTTGCTTTTTTTGGTGGTACCAGGGATCAAACTCAGGACCTTGTACTTGCCAGACAAGCACTTATTCCACTGAGCTATCTCTCCGGCCCTCATGCACTCTAAACATGTTTGCTTCTGATGTTTTTCTCTACCACAGGATATTAGAAGTAACACATCAGACTGCAGCAAGATTCTATGAAAGACAGGAGTTAAGTTGAGGCAACCCAGAAATAGGGAGGATGGGAAAGCTATAAAAAGCAGATATGTGGACCAAACACCACCAAACAACAACCAATCTCCCGAAGTTCGCAGCATTAGTCCAGTTTCTGTTCTGAGAAATTTGTTCTTGGAGCTCTGAAGTCAAGTTTTATCCCCCTCACAATGAGCCCCTTCTCCAAGTGTTTGCTCAGTCCCCCCCATATGATGTGATATGCAAACCTGAGTCACCCCTCTTGAGCATATGCCTGTGTCACCCTCTTTGTGTGACTAGACTCAGCTCCAAGTTTGTCTGAACAGTGTAGAACAAAATATAATAGAGTCCCCTTTTTAGGGGCAGGGTTCATATTTCCATAGCCTAAAGATGCATCAGCAGTTTTGTAATGTTGGTTGAATTATGCTTGATGTCAACTAAAATCCTTTTTGAGTATATTGATAGCTTACAAAGTCTTTTTTTTTTTTTTTTTTTTTTTGCAGAACCGGGGATTGAACTGGGGATTGAACTCAGGCCCTTGTGCTTGCCGGGGAAGCACTTATTCCACTGAGCCTTCTCCCTGGCTACAAAGTCATTTTTAAAGAGATAAAATACAGAGGAAAGATTTCCATTGAAACACACTGTGTGTAGTAAGTGCTCAACATTAAAGAGCAAATCAGTACATTCAAATTATTATATTTCAAAGATGGTTAACATTTAAACAAATTTTTTTAATTTTTT